TTTTTTTTACATCTTGGTGCAACCGCTGAGGGCCCCCTCTGATAGTTTGCTGGTAGGCGCCACACTTAGGCCAACTCTCCTGGTCCTGCAGTCTCCCACCTGCTTGGGCTGAGAACACCTTTGAGTCTATTCAGTTATCACAGGGAGCAACAGATAATGCACAAGAGTGACAAATAAATTAAATCCACAGATAATTTTAAAATCTAATTTTAGCCACCCCTCCCCCACTCAGTTATTTGTTAGTACTACTTAGGAAGCCTGAATTGACTGATTTGGTTTTATTTTTCATTGCTGCCTCTGGTAGACTGCAAGTGAACCAAGTGAAGACCAAAAGGCAGGGAGCAGGAGGGAGAAAGCAGAGAATATGGATAACCTGCATGATGAACACCCAAACTCTCACACAATCTAGAAAATTAACTGTGTGAGGACTCAGTCTTTCCTATTGTCTGGCCCTTATACCTGGGCTAAAACCTTCTTACTTTGGGAAAATTACCCATAGTTCTTTTTTAAAATCAGGAATGAAAGCACCCTTTATTTCCTTTATTTATTGTATTGGTAGAAATACAATGCAGATGTTTTTTTAAAGATTTTATTTATTTATTTTTAGAGAGTGGGGAAGGGAAGGAGAAAGGGAGAGAAACATTGATGCATGAGAGATACATCTATCAGTTGCCTCTTGCACACCCTAACTGGGGACCTGGCCCACAACCCAGGCATGTGCCCTGACTGGGAATCGAACCAGCAACCTTTCGGCTCATAGGCCGGCACTCAATCCACTGAGTCACACCAGCCAGGGCCAGAGATTCTTATATAATAAAGGACCAACCATAATACTTAACACTCTCAGCTCAAGTGGCCCTTCTCAGCTCCCCAGTACTCCTTCTCGAGATATGAAGCTTGTCATCATTAGCCAACCAGAGGGCAGGGATTTCCAATAAAGATAGACAATCCACGTTCTGCAGCATCTCAGCCAGAAGCGTTGACAGTTATTTTATATATTTTACATATTGCATGCCTCAAGTACCTCTCCATCTCCCCTCCAAAGTTAATGAAAAACATTTGTTCCTGTGCGCATGGGTGTGCATTAATGTATGTGCACACACCCACACCCGCTTCACGTGCGCACGCACACACATATACAGAGGGTCTCCCAAAATACATGTAACCAGTTCAGTGGAGGCTGGCAATGCATCAGAGCCTGTTTGAAGACAGAAATGACTATTTTTCTCTTACTCTTTCAGGATGGTGTGGCTCTCTGCCCAAGAAATAGGCTTCTTTCTTGATATACTACTGCTGCCCTAAAACCTCTATATTATGGAGCAATCTCAACGAAAGATGTCTTGCTAGTTCTTGGAACTCCAGGGGATGACAAAGTTAAATAATAAAATAATGATTTAAGCCCTGGCTGGGTAGCTCATTTGGTAAGAGCATTGTCCCAGTATACGAAGGTTGAGGGTTTGATCCCTGTCAGGGCACATAGAAAAAATAATCAATGAATGAAAAACAAATCAACAAGAAATCACTTTTTCTCTCTCTCTCCCCCTTATTATTATTATAATGATATAATAATAATAAATGATTTAAGATAGGAAGCAGGGCAGAATTTCAGAAGCAATAACTAATTTTGGGTATTAATACAAGCAGTAAGCTTTGTTTTCACATCAAAGAATGAATAGTGGTTGACTACTGAGTTCTGCAAATTAGGGTTTCTAATGCAAGTTCCCGAGACTTTCGTCAGAATGCCTTTGTGAAGAGGCCTGCCCTGATCTTAACTCTGGTTGTGACTGCCTTCCTATCCTCTCTTCTGCTCTTAGATGGAGACAGTCAGGCATACCTTTCTCCTAACTTTATCTTGAAGACAAGGTGAATACACTCAGACAAACAGCTAAGCAAATATTGTCTTACTATAGCCCTAATGGATCTGTAGGCTCCCCATACCAGTCCCAGGCAGAGGACAGAGGTGGAACATCCCTGGGCAAGTCAGTTCTGCTGCGCCAGAAGCCCTTTCCCTTCTTACCAGAAAGGCTCCCTGGAATTGCCAGGACTGCTTGGTCCAGGCATCACATCCAATGCAATGATCTTTCAATTAGACTACATGTTAACAAAAGTACATGTTAGGTCCTAGGGAATCCTACACAGGGTGGCCCAGAGCCTCGGGCTGGGCCTCAGGACCTGGCTGCCTGCCTCCTTATTGATCTTCAGCTCACTCCAATGACAATAGATTCAGTGTGGTCTTTGGACCACCAGCATGTTGTCACCGGTCCTTGTTAAAGGTGCAGACAATAGTCCCTGCTCCACTCCAGGCCAACTGAACAAAAATTTCTGGTGTTGGAGACCTAGGGACTCTGCATTTGTATAGCACCCTAAGGTTTGAGCACACTACTCAAGATTTGGAGGTCCTTACCTGGCCACCGAGTAGCTGGAGATCTGTCGCACACCCCCCTGCTCTGACATTCGATGGTCCTGGGTAGAGCTCATTTTTTTAGGTTGGTCTCCATATTCTCCAGCCACATTCCTACTGCATTACCACTCACTTCACAGACAACTGCCAGTTCACTGGGATTTAACAAGCGTGTGACAGTAAGTATAACTTCATCCCAAGCTACTTTGAAAATTAAGTATTTCCTACCCCTCACTGTCAGCAGATGCAACAATCACATTGGTATTTGAACATATGACTTGCTCCCCATGCCAGAAAGACACATTCAATATCTACCCCATCCCCTTGCCATGACTCTGCAGGAAGACCCCAACATAATAGGGATGGCCCGTCTTCCTTCACAAACACAGAAGTCACTTTTTAGGATTGTGGACAAGTCACTCTCAACTGATTTCCTATAGTTTCTAAGGATGAATTGGATTTCAGCCCTTAAACACTTTGAGCACCTGAGCGGAGGTAAGGTAACTTTCCCTCTTCTCCTTGCCTCTTCATGCGATGTGGCAAAGAGCAACAATGCCAGCCAGTGTTTCAGAACCCATATTATCACTGTTGATCTGTGGGGCCTGTTAGTTTATTTGGTTAAATGCTAATGAAGGCAAGGATGTGGTTTTGACCTTTTGCAGTCCAGCTGACTTCAAGCACCTTCTTTCATGGACCACCCGTCTTGAAAGTGTTGACCAAAAGAGTCTGAGTAACAGTGTGAAGAACAGTTACTGGTAAAATAACCCTACATTTGATATTCTTTGATGTCAAGTCAGAAGGTTCCTCTTTAGATACTAAAGATACAAGTAGTATATATGGCCATGGATACACTCAGGCAGAATAATCTCTTTTAGATTATTTTGCAGGATTATTTTTTCATTATAACTCACATTAATTCCATAGTTCCATTACTTTCCCAGAAATAAACTTCTAAAACAAAACGGGTGTCTTTATGTGGTTACTGGCTCACCTGAAGCCTGGTCACTCCAGTGCAGCCTGGATCAATCTCTCTCCCGGGAACTCCTTCCTCCTTTCCTGGGATCTACCCTCCCTGGACCCCCAGCTCTGCCTTATGCTGTCTCTCCGGCCGCAGCTACTGGAGTCCAGAACTGGAGCTGGCGATATCCAGAGCCCTGCAGGGAGCACCCCTATCACCTGGGCTTTTCCAAGGACCCAGGACACACACCACGGTTAGCTTAGTAGGCAGTAAGTGGAAGAAGAATGGAAAGGGAAGGTAAATGTGAGCTTTAAACTGAAATCTCCTAATTCTTTTGTTCATAATAGCAATATTAAATAGCTACCACTTAGTGAGTTTTTAATCTTCACCTGAAGATATGTTTACTGACTTTAGAGAGAGAAGAAGGGAGGAAGAGAGAGACAGAAACATCGATGTGAGAGAGAAACATCAATCAGTTGCCTCTCATACACGCCCCAGCCGGGGGGTCAAACCCACAACTTTCTGGTGTACGGGATGACGCTCCAACCAACTGAGCCACTGGCCAGGGCCATCTATAGAGTATTTAACTAGTGTTAGCCCTTAAGGACAGCACTTAAATGTATTACCTTATTCAATTCTCATAACATCGTCCTGTTCCTGTCTCTGATCACCAAATTAGAGCTCTGAAAAGTCTCTGTTTCCTTACCCTCTTCCACATGTATACCATGTATCAGGGTTCTAAGGATTAGGTCAAAATAAGAGGATACTCATAAAAGATAATCATGTGTCCAAATAAGGAAAGGGAGAGAAACTTCAATGAAGGGTATTTAATGTCAGAGAGAAGCTGTACATCTGGGGCAGAGGTGAAGAGACCATGCCAGGCCAGCTGAGCCTGCCCTAGCTACGCATCCTGTCATGCATGAGGCCTCCGCTGAAGGAGGAAGTGACAGCAGCAGCATCTCAAGGTTCCCCTCCCTGGGTGGGAGCACAGTGCAACGTTCACTCAGTCCAGTCATGCGCCCGGCTTTCTGCAGCTCAGGCATAAATATTCGGTTCGTGTCTTTTCTAACATGTCAGGCCAAATGGCCTCCTTTCCTCCTGGTGCAGGGAACTTGTGGCAGGAGCTAGTGAACTGTGGAAGGACCGTAATTCTCACTGGAAAGACAGACCAGGGAGGTGTGGGTCCTTTTGGAGTCACAGGTCAGAGATGACACCGGGCCACTCCTCATGTCTGCAAGTACGCACACAAATAAGAAGGTAGGAAAGCACTGGCCCTTTCACAGAACCCGTCAATACTCTGGGCAAGGCCCTGGAGATTTCAAGGTTTAAGCTGAGTTCCTGCTGCCTTCCATGGGCCTCCTGGCCCAAAGGCCGAGGTCACGGTCTAGTCGTCTACCTAACAAAGACTCTCAGACTTCCAGACAAAATCGTCTTCTCCATCTAACCTCCACCTCTCTCCTGAAGGGATAATGGATAGACAGCAAATATTCCCAAGTCCCTACATCCTGAGAGTGGCCACTGGAGAAAGGGAAGAAAGACCTTTGTCCTACCCACTGAGAGTTGAGAACCAGCAAAGTCCAGTCCTCAAAGATCTTTAGTGTCTCTTAAATAAGCTTTTCCTTTCCATTTTCTTCATTTAATTATCATCCATCTATTCATTTATACAAATATAAAATATATTTATATAGATTTATATAATATAATCTTCTGTGAGGCAGAGTGGAGAGGAAGCCAGGGGCATGGCCCCGGCTATTTGCAGACGTGCTGGTCGACAACCTCCGTGCACTTCCTGCACTTGACGAAGCAGCACCAGTGGAACTTGCAGTGGCAGCGCTCCACCTGGACGCTCTTGAACTGGTCATAGCCACGGCCGCAGCACATGAGCTCGCAGCCATCCATGCCCTCCGAGGTCTTGTTGCAGAGGCGGCCCTGGGTGCCCAGGGAGCCTGTGGTCTCGTTGCGCAGGCAGTAGTCAGGGCTGGGGTCCACGTACACCAGGTCCTCGGGGGTGGGCTGGTTGAAGCGGCTGTTGACCAGCTCCAGCTTGCCCTTGCGGGTGATGCGCATGGCGGCGGCGCTGTCATACTTCTCCTTCAGCTGGTCCCCTACCTTGCGGAACTCAGCCAGCTGGAGCCAGCAGGTCTTGAGGCTGCAGGACCCAGAGACGCCGTGGCATTTGCAGGCTACATCTGCCATCTTATACACAGCCTGGGGGAGGAGAAAGAAGGAAATAAGAAGGAGAGCCCCTGATGGAATATGTCAAGACGGTGGCTAGAGGACCACAAGCCAAGTATAGAAGAGGGATGATCAGGGAGGAGGAGGAGTTTTTCAATTAAAACAAAGATCTTTCCAGGATTTGCAGTTGCTCAGACTCACAGCAAACAGGGGAGCCCTAGGAAGACACACGCTGGCAAGGCATCCAGTAGTCTGACTCACCATGAGGGTGACACAGGGTGCTTGCATGTCCTATTTTACTCACTTCTTATTGCTTGAAATTTGTCACAATAAATTTCTATCTTGATCAAAAAAAAAAAACAAAACCCCAAATAAAAACTAACAAAATGCATCCAGCTTTCATATGATGTGGAGCACCAGGCAGAAAACAGAATCCAGTCAAGTTATAATCCTGTAACAGAAACTGCTGGAAGGGCACTGGCTAGCCAAAGCTCTCCCAACCCTTCCACATGCCCGAAGAATTTAATGGTCATTTAACTTAAGTAAATAAATAAATATTTAAAAATAAGAATAATAAAGAATCCAATGGTCATTAATGCTACAGAGTCATCAGGAGCCTCACCATAGGCCACATCGTCTCTGACTCCCCTGGGAGAGGAGGTGGCAGTGGAGGGAAAGGAGCATGGCCCGTGCAGGAGAACAGCAAGGTGCTGGGTCTGCCTATAGGGGCAATGCATTAGAAATCGAATCTAGCTTCCCTTGCTGCTTGAAGATCGGTAGCCATCATGAATGACACAGTGACTATCCGGACCAGGAAGTTCATGACCAACAGACTACTTCAACGGAAACAAATGGTCATTGATGTTCTTTACCCTGGCAAGGCAACAATACCCAAGACAGAAATTCGGGAAAAACTAGCCAAAATGTATAAGACCACACCAGATGTCATCTTTGTATTTGGATTCAGAACCCATTTTGGTGGTGGCAAGACAACTGGCTTTGGCATGATTTATGATTCCTTGGATTATGCAAAGAAAAATGAACCCAAGCACAGACTCGCAATGCATGGCCTATATGAGAAGAAGAAGACCTCAAGAAAACGGAGAACGGAACGCAAGAACAGAATGAAGAAAGTCAGGGGGACTGCAAAGGCCAATGTTGGTGCTGGCAAAAAGAAGGAGTAAGGATTCTTCAGTGACTTATCTGTGGTGATAATGCAGATTTTTCATGAGAGGATTAATAAACTAAGAATTTTTATGTGAAAAAAAAAAAAAAAGAAATCGAATCTACCCTGGAAGCCACTGAACCACAAACAATGTAGAGTGGATTTGAAGTTGGGTTATCCAAATCAAAATCTAACAGGTCACTGAGGCTCTCTGGAACTTCAATATGTTTTCCATTATGAAATAGTGGGAATAATTCCATATCAGAAAAAAGATGAGAAAGAGTGCACAATAGTAATATGATGATGTACCTGCAGTGATATCTGCATAGTGCTGAATAAAGACACAATCTGGGGCATCTTAAAAAGAAATATGAGAAAAACCCTTGAGAAATGAGTCCCTGCTCAATTGGCAACAGTAACTGTAGCATAGGGAGTTGTTCTGTGATGGGCTTGCACTTTTACCCTGCCATCTGCACCCTGGGCCTGCTACTGGAGTGATTTGACATGATGCATCAGTATGCTTTCATTGGAAAGCACTTTGTAAACCGCTTGTGATCTATTCTTTTTTTTTTTTTTTTAAGATTTTATTTATTTTTATAGAGAGGGTAAGGGAGGGAGTAAAAGGGGGAGAGAAACATCAATGTGTAAGAGGTGCGTCAATTGGTTGCCTCTTGCACACCCCCAACTGGGGACCTGGCCCGCAACCCAGGCATGCGCCCTGACTGGGAATCAAACTGGCAACCTTTAGGTTTACAGGCTGGTACTCAGTCAACTGAGCCACACCAGCCAGGGCAGGAAATAAATTTTAGTAAAACAAATCCAAGAGGAACAGTGTCAATGATCCTATTTAGACATTCATTACATCCTTCCTCTAGGAAGGAAGACATTGTAGAAACATAGTACTTGTATTTTAAAATATTTCACTATTGATAATATATGTTTCTCCTGTAGGAGAAGGGGGAGGGGGATATCCCAATTTTTGGCCCTTTCTGACTTATCTAAGAAAAAGAAGATCAGAAGTATGAACAGTAAAATGACAACAAACCCACAACTATCAACAACTGAACCTAGAAACAATGACAAACTAAACAAACAACTAAAACAGGAACAAAATCACAGAAATGGAGATCACATGGAAGATTATCAGTGGGGAGGGGGAGGGGGAGGGGAGAGAATGGGGGGAAAGGTACAGGGAATAAGAAGCATAAATGGTAGGTACAAAATAAACAGGGGGAGGTTAAGGATAGTATAGGAAATGGAGAAGCCAAAGAACTTATATGTACGACCCACGGACATGAACTAAGGGTCGGGGGGAATGCTGGTAGGGGGATGCAGGGCAGAGGGGAATAAAGGGGAGAAAAAAATGGGACAACTGTAATAGCATAATAAATAAAATATACTTTTTAAAAAAATAATTTTTGGCCCTTTCTGATAACTGAAAAAGCAGTACAATGTTTTTAAAAATGTTTTAAATTCTACATCTTGCCCCTGGCAAAGCCCTCTCTAAGTCCTCTTCACTTCTACCTAACGGTGTGATTTAGCTTGGTAACTGACAGGAATGTCACAGGATTAGGCATCTTAAAAAAAAAAAAAAAGATTTTATTTATTTATTTTTAAAGAGAGGGGAAGGGAGGTAGAAAAAGGGAGAGAACATCGATGTGAGAGAAACATTGATTGGTTGCCTCTTGCATGTGCCCAGCTCAGGACTAAACCCACAACCCAGGCATGCGCCCTGACTGGGAATTGACTGGTGACATTTCACTTTGCAGAACCATGCTCAACCAACTGACTAGGGCAGATTAGGCCGTTTTTAACTGGAAAATGCTTGGAAGCCTTTGAGTGACCAGGTAGTATCAATCCACTGCCCTTGCTGTCCATATCTAAAATTGAGTTACTAGAGACTCTTAAAGGCCAAGAGAAATTTCTTGTAAAATACATTCAAGATTTACACTGTGGTCAAGATGTCAAATCCTAGATATTCAGTTAAAAAAAAAATCTGTTCGTAAAATACCTGGTCAGGGAATTTTCCATCCCTGCTACCATTTAGTTTTTTCTGTGGAACTTTTTGTGTAGGTGTGAGGAGGTGACAGGTGAATATCTCTAGCCTCAGAAATGACTGATGGCTGAGGCCTGTTCCTTGGGAACAGTGTAAAAAACAGAGGGACAAGAATTCCCAACCCAGGGGATCCAAGATGGTGGTGGAATAGGTGGATGTACACTCACCTCCTCCTGGGATCAAACTGGAATTACAATTAAAATATAGAGCAAGCAAACTGAATAACCAACTGAAGACTAGCTGAAGAGGGGTCTTATAACCAAGGATTGACAGAAGAAGTCACAGGGAAACTGGTAGGAAGGATGGAGACACACAAAGGGCTGGCCTCGCTCTTGTAAGTGGCAGCTGAGTTTCTGGGAGGATATCTCAGCTGTGGGGGTTCCACCTGAGAAGTGTGGGGTCGCAGCTCCAAGCTGAGCTCTCCAGCCCAGAGCACCAGAGCTGGGAAGAGGCACCCACATAACATGTGGCTGTAAAAATCTGTCTGCCAGGAAGAGACAGGAGCCTACTAGAGACACAGGTACATTTTGAAAGGGCCAACACACAAAATCTCATTTGCAGCCACTCACCCTGGGCTCTGGTAGAGGGAGTTCAGAGCAGTCTACAGTCCTGTGAGGAGATACTGGGGTTTGTGGTTCTGGGGAGAGAGCTGAAGGGACAGCTACCAGAATTCCTATGCTGAGTCCCTCACTCACACTGTAGTCACTATCTTTCTTGTGTGGCGCACTCCTCTTCCTGTAGAATGAGCTTGGAGGAAAGCAATAGCTCCACCATATGGACTCCCTCTCACTGCATCCTGTGGAGCTTGCACCATGCTGAGGAGTCAGTAGCCAGGGCTGGGATGTAGAGGTCTGGGCAGACTCAGAGGGTATAAGTGACTAAGTTGGTGGCTTTGAAGTAGGGACCATTCCCACCATTTTCTCATGAACTGACCAGTGCTTCTTCCTCACGAATATCTGATTGCCCCTCTCTCCAGGCTCCCAGTGGCCCAAATCTCCCAGCTGCTGCCAGTTCCACCCTGCCAAGATCTGAGCACAATCTGGAACTGACTGAGTTGTGCATCTCTGGGACAGGGGCCAATCCTGTTACATTTTCCCAAGTCTTACCAGCATCCCCCCAACCAGAGCTCCCCTAACCCCACCTTCCCAACTCTCAGCAACCATGCCCAGCTGAGACTGGACTCCTGGCAGGATCTGGGACAGACTGAGTTGTGGGGTTCTAGGCTGGCGGCTGTTTTCCCTTGTACACCTGACTGGTGCAGAGCCCTCCCTTCACATAGTCAAATCTTGGTCTGTTTGGGTCTGACAAACTCTGCTAGCCTCACCCTGATGACTCCTTAAAACCCTAACCAACCACAAAGGTGTGCAAGCACCTAGAAGGTAGCAGCTTAACTTAGTATACCTGGAGACATTGGCTCAGTGGCCTCAGACCTAGCATTGGCACTGAGTTTGAACCTGTATCAATCTGGTGAACACACTCGCCTCCTACCTGGTGACTCACTTAGAAACTACCTTGTGCAACTTGAGTACCACCAGAGGCTTTTTTGGTGACTGAGCCAAACAGGCAGCTGGCAGACAGGGGCAGGTGGAGGTGGAGCTCAGGGTGCCTTGGAACTTATCATGGCCTTCCCCTGGGCCCAGTGCTGGTAAAAACCAGACTTGGTGAGCAGCTTGGTCCTTACTGCACACATGCAGACCCAGCAGAGGCAGCGACAAACTGGACTGCTGTGTAGGACTCCAAGCCGGATGCCCAGAGCCAGCCACAGGCAGTATGTGATATAGGTTACACCAGAGTCCCTCCCAACAGGCCCCA